CCAGCCTGGACAACATGGTAAGATCCTCATCCCTTAATAAATGGGGGAAGGCACAGTTCTCCAAAGACATGCTGAATAACAAAAGGTAAGTCTAATCCATGTGGCTTAAATGGTACAGTATATTGGTTATGATCCTAATATAGTTACTTTTTTTTTTAAAGAGTCTCACTCTGTTGCCCAGGCTGGAGTGCAGTGGTGTAATCATGGCTCACTGTTGCCTCCAATTCCTAGGCTCAAGCAATAATAACTCCTGCCTCCTGCTGGGACTACAGGCATGAGGCACTGTGCCAGGCTCTATTCTTTTATTATAATACAAAGAATTTGACTCTAAAAATGAAAATATTTTACTATAAAAATATTGTTTCATTCACAGAATCAAAAAGAGAGGCAAAAATTGGGCTTTAAAGTAATCAGGAACCAGGATAATCTAAGGATACAGTAACAGAAACTCATGGACAATCTTTCTAGACTGATAGGCCTGGCACAATGGCTCTAGCCAGGTGAATAGCTCACATCTGTAATCCCAGCACTCTAGGAGACTGAGGTGGGAGGATTGCTTGGCCAGGAATTTGAGACTGATATAGGCAATATAGCAAGACTTCATGTCCACAAAATTTTTTTTTTAAATCCAGGCATGGTAGTGCACACCTGTAGTCCTAGTTACTCAGGAGGCTGAGGAGGAAAGACCGATTGCCTGAGCCCAGGAGGTTGGGGTTTGCAGTGAGCAATGATCATGCCACCACACTCCAGTCTGGGCAACTGAGTAACACCTTGACTCAAACAACAACAACAAAAGTAGATTGATGAATATTCAATTTTCAATCATAACTCAAGATTCAAATTCTATGGAGATGAAAATCTGATTGGCCCATATTTCAGGAGGAGGGAACAGGTTGGTGGAACTGTGTTTGACAGTCCCACTTGTGCAAGAATCAAACTGGAGGAGAGGTGGTTTTCCAAAGTGTAAGTAGGATGCTGTTCCTGAAAGGGAAAAGGATGTGGGGGAGTTAAAAATCAAGAGCTGGTTGAATACAAATAAGGAAGGCTTAGAGAATCTTAGTTGAAATAAATTCCCAATGGTTTGGAGAGCAATAAATAACATGCAGGTATAATCATTAAAAAAAAAATCAAGAGCTGGCTGAGTACAGGTGCAGTGGCTTACGCCTATAATCCCAGCATTTTGGAAGGAGGGAAAATTGCTTGAGCCAGGAGCTCAAGAACAGCCTGGGCAACATAGTGACACTTTGTCTCTACAAAATAATAATAATAATAATAATAAGTAAAGATCAAAAAATTAGCCAGGCATGGTGGCACCTACTTGGAAGGCTGAGGCAGAAGGATGACCCGAGTCCAGGAGTAGGAGGCTACACTGAGCCATGATTATGTCACTGTAACCTGGGCAACAGTAAGACCCTGACTCAAAAAAAAAAAAAAAAAAAATCAAGAGTTGTTCAACTATATAGCTACCAAAAGGTAGCTGTCCTCCTTTCCCCCTGCTCCCAAACCACAGAGGCCAAAGCAAGTGAGTGTTAAAAACCAAGCCAACTTTCTGTAATCTTTGTTCTTATATTAGAAATATAAAATATTATTAATGCTAAAATATCAAATGTTTATAGTAAAATTTTCTAGTTTGAATCTTGTTGGGAGCCAGCCTTGGAGGCCCACCTGATTGACAGGGTCCTGGTGGGCCGGAGACCCTGGGCCACAGGGTGAGTCCAGGAAGTTGAGGCCCTTCTGTCTTCTGCCTTTGCTGTTGATACGGCCGAAGAATTCTGGGCAGTTGTGAAAGAAGAAAACAGTATGTTTATGCAAAGTATTTTCAGCTACTGGAAACTCATTGTCCATTTTTCCATTTCCCACTACGTTGTTTGACCTTTCCCTTTTTGCTCATGTGATGGTTAAGCTCTGAGGCACGTCAAAGGGGGCTTTCTTTCGCTTGGTCGTGGGTTACTGGTCTTGTTTTTAGGGTTAGGATTTGTGACTCATACCAGGTAAAAAGAGGTTCTGATTTTGTTTAAGCAAAGAATATTTTTATTTATTATTTGTAGTTGTAGCTATGGTGTTTGGATATAAGGTTTTATAGGTATAAGTTTATAATCGTAGGCATGAGATTTAAGTGTAATGAAAGTTTATATTAAGGTATATGTAGGTGATTTATATGTTTGTTTCTAGGGGTTTGAGATATACATTAAAGTTTTTGTATATAAGAAGTTGAAGGGTTTGGATGTAGAATTTAAGTGAAACAGGTTTTATCTAACAACTGAAACTACCTTGAGGCTTGAATAGCCTCATTAAAAGTTTCTTCTGAGCTACTCTCCTTAGGAATAAGATGTTCCACATAAGGAGAAACAACGGAGAAACCCAAACGAGGAGAAACTCCAAGGGGCTTGAAAGACCAGAGGGCCTTAAAGGAGAAACTCCTCGTCATTGAAAGAATGTCCATGAAAGAATGTACATCTGCGTGAGGTGCTTCGGGAGGGTCTCTAGGTGCACATTCTTTCACGCAGATGGAAGTACTCTACACATGGACTGCTCTGAGGCCTTGGGCCAGAAACTGCTGTTCTGACCCCCAGAGACTTTGTTGCAGAGATACTTGTTTCCCGAGATTCGTTTTATTATAGAAGTTAATTTAGAAGAAGAATTAGAATTGTTATAAGAATTGTAATATGTATTAGTTTGATTTAGAAAATTAGTTAATTTAAGATATTTGATAAAAGTTTTATAATTTTATATAAAATTTAGGTTTATAAGTTTTTAGTTTTAAGCTTATAAGTTGTGCAGTAAGAACAGATGTTACCTTGGGTGGAAAGTTATTCTAATGAGCTATTAAGGAAAACACATCAAACCACCCCCTGAGAGAATATTAGCCAAGCATGGAATGGAATACGTCAAAACCTTTGTAATAGTCAAGTGAATTCGTGTGATTTGTGGTACGTGATTTGCTTTGTAGTGATGACTTGCTGCAACGTGATTTGCTTTGTAACAATGACTTACTGAAATTATTTCCTTGTAAAGAGGGATATAAGTTCTCTGAAACTGACTAAATAAACGGCATCTGTCCTGCTCAAAACAGACTCAGGTGTCTGAAGTGTTTTCGTGCAATGCCAACGTCATTGCCACCTTTGGGATACCCTTGACCCAGCTGGAGCTGGACTCCCGCAGAATCTGAAATCCCAAACACTGAATAACAAATACTGAAAAAGAAATAAAATAACACCCATGATACTTTATATGTCTAATTCTATGCTTTCTAAAGTAGCTCTGTTGTTGAGACTTCTAAATGCATGCTTCTGTACCAAGACCTGATCAGCTTGGACTAGCAAGTACCAATCACGTGGGGCAGCAAAGGATTTGCAGGACTTAGGAAAAGTATAAAAGGCTTTCTCTTGATCAATTATCTGGCTTTAGAGGAACTCTGCCTATAACAGGACAATATGAGAATGGGTGCAGCTCAAGACAGGAGAAGACAGGAAGCAGAGAGACCAGTGGGGATTGTAGGTGGCATGTAGCAGCCCATGACATAGATGCACCACTATAGATGTTACCCGTCCCCTAATAACAGACATTAAGTCTTCAATCAAATAATGCTACAACCTTGAACATAAGTCATTTTGCCTGCATGAAAATAATTGCAGGGTACATTCCTACAACTGAAAACACTAGGTCTGAAGATATATGCATTTCTAATTATGACTGATATTGTTACGTTTTCCTACATGGGGATTCTACCAATTTACACCATCAACGAAGAAAGCCCACTGGCTTAGATCAGTGGTTCTCAAACTTCAGCGTGCACTGGAACCACCTGGAGGTCTGGTGAAAACACAGATTAGTAGGCCCCAGGTCCAAAGTTTTGGATTCAGGAGGTCAATGTAGGATCCAGGAAGCTGCATTTCTAACAAGTTTCCAGAAGCCACTGCTATTGTTGGCCCAGGAACCCATACTTTGAAAAACACTGCTATAGATCAATTCAGTTCCCGCCACTTCAGAGAACTGTTCTATCAAATTCTGCATTGTTCTCTTCAATTGTCTTCTTTTCTCCATTTTCCCTGACTTTGTTGCTACATTTAAAACATCTGCATATATTTTTAAAAATCTTTTCTTCCTATTTGGTCCTGTTCAGTGCTCCTACCTTGGCTCTCAGGTCCTTTAACAGACCGGAAAGAGTGCGGAGAGACACCGGCAACAAGCCCAGCGCCTGGAAGCAAAACAACATTCGCGGCTTCGCATCAGAAAGGATGCGCTGACCCGGGACCTCTCTTGGAAACCCTCCTCATCCGTCTGTCGTTTCTCCCGCACAGCCCCGTTGCAACCCCACGCGATGCTCTGGGGAAGCCTCGGACCTTGGACTGCACAAAAGCCTTACAGGCGAGAGGCGGGGACGGTCCTGCGGGCCCAACCGGCTACAAGCCAGAGACTCTCCGGGAACGGACCGTGACCAACGCCCCGCCTCCCAGCCCGCCCTTCCGGGCTCCGCCCCGTGGCCGCGACGCTTCTGAGGGGCGGGGTTTCCGCTTCCGGTGGGGGATTGTTGACGCCTGTGGCTGCTGCGGTGGCGACGG